AAAAAGTGAAGGGGAGTAGGGCAATTCAAGTAGATCAATTATCACTCCTACTAGAGTTCATTGAATGAAGAAACTCTTACTGATAACTCTAAAGATTCCACAATAGACTCCAGTCTGACTTCCCAGCCTCTGTATCTGCACTATGATGAAAGGAAAACTGCCTCCAACCACAACCCCATGCCCACACCAGTACAGCTGCTATTTTTCAGTACATCTTCTCTGCAGACTTAATAGAGCTCTCCACAAGCAAACACCAGCTTTACCTTCCCAACCTTGTAAACCACTGGGTCCTTTCAGGACATATCCTAGCCACTGCTAAGCCTCTTTAGAGCTCCAGGCCAACCACACTGTGGGATCATACGTGACTTCATACACAGCTGCTTCTTTTCTTTGGCGAGCTGTTCTTCCATTTCTGTAGGACCCAGTCAATCCTCCAACATTTACAGACCAAGCCCCAAGGGATACGTCACGTATGATGAAACACAATGATTACTAGACGCAAAACACACAAAAATCACTGACAATAACTATTTTCCACATCAGGCTTTTATAGATATTTACAAACCTGTAGAGTCAGCCAATTGAACCACATATCCTTAAAATTATTTAATATTTTAAAACTTCAAGAAAAGTATGGAAAGTAATCTGAGAAGCAGACATCCATCAACCACCCCCTCACTTAACAGCTGTTAACATTTTGTCATGTTTGCTCCAAATGGCTCTGTTAAATGTTTCTTCCTTCTCTCTTCTTTTCTAGAGGTATCTCTATCTTAAATTGGTGTCACTCCAAAACATTTTTACACTTTTACTCTGTGTACATACATTGATAAACAATACCAAGCATCATTTAATTATTAGATAAACATATGTTTATATTACTAGACATACATATATATACATATGTATATATACATATACTTGAATGTCCATAGATGATATATACTTATATCTATACTTCTGCAACTTGGAGTTTTCAACCAAAAGCCCGTTTTGCAAACTGTCCATGTTGAGACATACAGATCCAGTTTAACTGCCCTCCAGTTCACTCATTTCCCATTTCCATGCTGATAGGTATGTCTGATCTTTGGATTATTTTTAAAATAATGCAGCAATGGGCAGGCACTGCGGCTCACTAGGCTAATCCTCCGCCTGCGGTGCCAGCATCCCATATGAGTGCCGGATTCTGGCCCAGTTGCTCCTCTTCCAGTCCATCTCTCTGCTGTGGCCCGGGAAGGCAGTGGAGGATGGCCCAAGTGCTTGGGCCCTGCACCCGCATGGGAGACCAGGAGGAAGCACCTGGCTCCTGGCTTTGGATTAGCGCAACGCAGTGGCCTAGCAGGCCACTTAGGGGGTGAACCAACGGAAAAAGGAAGACCTTTCTCTCTGTCTCTCTCACTGTGTAACTCTGCCTGTCAAAAAAAATAAGTAAATAAAAATAAAATAATGTAGCAATAAGCATCCTGCTATACACACCTATCAGACTTTCTCCAAAGGTATCCAGCTTTAAAAGTTCAAAGTACACTTTTTTGCTTACTGATTCTCATTAACTGTCAAGGTTTTTCATTTTAAAGATAAATATTTTAGTGCAATCTTTTTACAAAAGTCAGAATTAATCCCAAAACACATGAGACAAAAGACAATGTGAAACTGTCTTTCCTACCCCTCTTCTTAGTTCTGAGTGACACTCAGGTGCTATAATCTCTCACCTGGATTCCCTGGCTCCTGAGAGGGTTTTTCTATGGAGGTACAGTTGTCCAAATTGATGTTTCTGTGAGAGGAAACGCACTAGACTGTTCTAGTCTCCAAGCTTGCTAACATCAATTGGGTTTTGGCATTTGTGTTTATAGCGTCTGATAGTGAGCTCATCCTTAGTAGTGTCAGTTTTCCAGCTGAGGTTTCCTGAATAATGTGGATGTTACATTTGGGCTCCAAACCTACATATTATACAAGCTTGGGGTTTGCCAAAGGTGTAGCCCTTTGAATGTCATGATTAATGCAGAGATTTTAAGCTCAAACATACCACTTTGAGCACACCCGAGACTGCATCCCTTCAACTCTACACGGAGAGTAAATTCAACTTTAGTGTTTATCTTGAGGTTTCACATCTGCCCTCAGAGCACCTGCAGAGGCAACTCAGGGTTTCCTGGTTCTGGCTTTCAGTTTCCTTTCTATTTTTTTTAAAAGCTTGATTTTATTTATTTATGTATTTCTATTTATTTATTTATTTAGTAGAGTTATAGACAGAGAGAGGGAGAGACAGAGGGAAAGATTTTCCATCCACTGGTTCATTCCCCAAATGGCCTCAATAGCCAGAGCTGGGCAGATCTGAAGCTAGGTGCCTGGAGCCTCCTCAGGGTTCCCATGTGAGTGCAGGGGCCCAAGCACTTGGCCCATCTTCTACTGCTTTCCCAGGCCATCACAGAGAGCTGGATCGGAAGAGGGGCAGCTGGGACTTGAACCAGTGCCCATATGAGATGCTGGCACCACAGGTGGAGGCTTATAGTACTACACCACAGCACCAGCCCCTCCTTTCTATCTTTACTATCTAGAGATTCTCCTTTCTCTTTTATTACTTCTTTTTTTTTTTTTGACAGGCAGAGTTAGTGAGAGAGAGAGACAAGAGAGAAAGGTCTTCCTTTTTCCGTTGGTTCACTCCCCAAATGGCTGCTATGGACATCGCTGTGCCGATCCAAAGCCAGGAGCCAGGTGCTTCCTCCTGGTCTCCCATGCGGGTGCAGGGCCCAAGCACTTGGGCCATCCTCCACTGCCTTCCCGGGCCACAGCAGAGAGATAGACTGGAGGAAGAGCAACCGGGACAGAATCCGGTGCCCCAACCAGGACTAGAATCCAGAGTGCCGGCGCTGCAGGTGGAGGATTAGCCTAGTGAGCCGCGGCACCGGCCTCATTACTTCCTTTAAGTATTGGTTTTTATTATTAATATATTAAGTATTTCTAGGAGTTCATCAAGAAAATTTCCATGTTGATTTTGTTATCTATTTTGCAAGAATAAGAAATTCTACCTAATTCTTTAAATGTTGAAATAATTTTTCCATTATTGCAAAATTCTATCCTTAGAAGTATATAATACCATGTCATTGAGTTTGTGAATTACTCTTTCTGGTTTTAAATTTTTTTATTTTTGACAGGCAGAGTGGACAGTGAGAGAGAGAGACAGAGAGAAAGGTCTTCCTTTACCGTTGGTTCACCCTCCAATGGCCGCTGCAGCCGGCGCGCTGCGGCCAGCACACCGCGCTGATCCGAAGCTGGGAGCCAGGTGCTTCTCCTGATCTCCCATGTGGGTGCAGGGCCCAAGCACTTGGGCCATCCTCCACTGAACTCCTGGGCCACAGCAGAGAGCTGGCCTGGAAGAGGAGCAACCGGGACAGAATCTGGTGCCCCGACCGGGACTAGAACCTGGTGTGCAGATTAGCCTATTGAGCCGCGGCGCCGGCCCTCTTTCTGGTTCTAAAGACATAGATAACTTTTTTAAAATATTGAAAATTAAAACTAATTTTATCTTGATAATTTTAACTTCCTTGATAAATTATTTCACTACGGGGCCGACATTGTGGTGTAGTGGGTAAAGCCACCACATGTGATGCCAGCTTCCCATATGGTTACTGGTTTGTGTCCCAGCTGCTCCACCTTCTATCCAGCTCCCTGCTAATGGACTGGAAAAAGCAGAAGATGGCCCAAGTGCTTGAGCCCCTGCTGCTCTCATGGGAGACCCAGAGCTCCTGGCTCCTGGTATCAGCTGTTGTAGTCACCTGGGACGTGAACCAGCAGATGGAAGATCTCTCTCTCTGTCTCTCCCTCTCTCTCTGTAACTCTTTCAAATAAATGTATCTTTAAATAAATTACTTCACTAGGTATTGCAAAAACAGTTAAAATTTCTAATTTTTAATATTATACCTCGCTTATAATTGCTATATCTATAAAACTACCTAGATATTTAAAAAATGATCTTATAATTTTGTATTTGGTTCTTACTAATTTATGGACTTTTTGCATGCTCTATGCCTTACCAAACAGACAAATATACAAAAGTGTCCAGGGTCAGGAATGAAAAATTCATGTGAATTCAACTTGTCAACCTAACAGTTTTAAAATTGCACACTAGCAATCAGCTAGAAATGAGAAACTATCTATCTGCTAAAGAGTTTTGCCTATGAGCAATAGAACATAGTGAAAACAGAACAATTATGAGATTAGAAATAACTGAGAGACAAGTTACTGTGTGTATAGCCACAATATAAGTCTTCAAACCAAGCTTAAAAGTAAAAACAGTAAAAGTATTTTATAGTAGTCTTAATAGGAATATGTAATTACTGCAAGAGAAATCTACACTTAGGATAAGCAGTGATTTAGCCATTTTGGAGATTATGATAGTAATGATTATGGTAATAACGTTTTAAAACAGCGTAAGAAGCCATTTAAATAAAAATAACAATCATGGTTAAATTTTTTTCCTATAATACATTTTCTATTTGCTATATTTGAATATACCAAATTAAATCATACAGCAATTAGCTCATATAGGAGTTACAAAGTTCTAGCAATAGTCAACATGGATTGAAGGCATTTTTAGAAGCTAACTAAATCTTACCATTTAGAACTATTTCTGTAAAAAAAATAAATAAATAAAAAGTACCTGGTCTTCAAAGTGCCGGCCAATTAGCTTTATCTAGTAATTAGCAATCAATCATGGGAATATCCATCAACTGTGTCTACACATGAGAAATCAAATTTCTGAAAGTAGCATAGTAGCTTTTGCTATGGAAGCTTACCAGTAACTCTACAAAGTACTTCATGCACAAGACTGAAGGATAATCAAGATTGTGAGAGGCTTCTTAAAATTAGAATAAACTGATACTTTTGGTGTCAGATTCAGGAAGGCAAAATAACAGTGACAACACTACCTGAACCTTCGTTGTGTCCGGGACAACTTAATAAAGCATGGAACCTGTGGGCACAGAAAGAGAGAGCCATTGGCCCTGTACCTGGTGCTGGCGATGCTTGGTGATTCTGCTCCAAGCCTACATCTTTCTAGCTGACTGGCAACAATCTGCCTTTCCACTTCCAGTTCTCGGGTGAGTCGTTGAAACTGAAGCTCCTGTGAGTCAAGGAAATAAAAGGCATATAAGGCGCCAAGGTTTGCTGCTCAAGCAGATACACACATTAGTCTATGTCACAGGAAACAGAAGAACATACCCATAACAGAAAGCTCCAGTGTGGCTTTGTGAAATGCAACTTTGGGATAGAATAAATCACCTATGGTTTGTTGCTTCTTTCAAATTTAAAGGTCCTAGAATTGTAGGCTTTGTTTAGAATTGAAAGCATGCAGATCTTTATTTTCCTTTTTTATTTTTGATTCTAATTGAGGCCTTTTAAACAGTGTTTCTGTTGCAGTGTCACATTAAATTTGAGGTTTACAGAGACCCTGATGTGAGCACATCACAGGCACCGTGGCCAAAATAAGAACTTTATCTTCAGCAGCAGTTTTTATATCTGTCACGCTGAATATCGGCATACTACTAAAAAGAAAAAACAGTCAATCCCCATGATGAGAAATGCTTTACCAAGTTTGCTACAAAGTCATTTAATTAAGGGGAAAAAACTTTCCCACACTCACAGAAAAAGTCCTACTACATTTATCTGTAACATATCCAACAAAACTTTGCTATTGTCACAAATGCATTTATGTGCTGCTGTGTGACAGGAGATAGGGATTAAGAGAAATTAAGAGAGCTAGAACGTGACATTTAAAATTGTATTTTAAAGCTGGAAAGATTGTCTCAAGAAATTATATTTGTCAATCTATGTGACATCATGAAGGCAAACAAGTTACTAGAGATGTGTTAACTTTATTTGTACTTCTCTCATTGATAGCTTGATGGGAACTTAATAAACCAAGTATATCATGTTTTAAAACATCTAAAAATAAAATCAAATATATTTCTCAGGCTTTGAGGCACAAATAACATCTCCAAGAACACCTGAAGCTCCCTTGTGCTGAATTATCTTCAAGACTACACAAAGAAAATGCTGAAGTAAAAGTAGTTCAATTTGACAATGGCTGCTAATTAAAAACACCAAAAATATGAACAGTAAGCCTAGAAACTAAGCAGAAATAAGAGTATTATTTATGAATACAGGTAAATATCTGTTTGTGCACCAACATTTTAATTTGAAAGTGTATCTACTTCCTGTGGAAACAAATAGTCTATGACTTGGCAATATTGGTTCTGCAACACCCACATGCTATTCTTAGAATAATGTTTATGAAACAGTCCCTGGACTCCTTACCACATTATGATACTGACAATTCTTTCTAATGAACCCAGTTGGTGTGGGTATACTGTACAGGGTCTAGATGAATAAGAGTTGGCTCAATGATGCTGTATCGTGTGATTGTAATAGCTAAGTGGGACAATGCATGCCTCTTCCTACCAATCCCTAGACCACTGGGTCTCAGTAAATGTTTGGCAACAAAGGACCACATAGACAGAAATTGCACACCATTCAGTACTGGGCTAAGACAGACTCTTTTAAACCAGGATTATCCTTACACACACTTCATCCGTCTTTGCTCTAGTTTTTGTGATAGACTTCCATTCTTTTTATTTATTATAAGCATCTTTTCCCACAAGACCGGTTGCTTATATCAAGCTGAGTTGGGCAAAGACCATCTATGAATCCCAAATAGTCACTGAGCCATCACATTAGCTTTATTTTCTGAGTTCAGTGGCTACAGGTGTTTGGGAGCTGCAGTGTTTCCCTCATTTTGTGATGGAAAAGTTACCTTACTAAAGCACGACTGATATATGTTTCAAATCATAACATAGGAAAAAAACTCCAACCACAGAAAAAAATCCCACTGCAGTGAATTTTTATCATATACGTGGCTGCCTAAATGACCTTTAAAGAAACCTTTCAAGGAAATGGTTGGGAAAACTTTTGCTAGAAGGTAGAAACAGGAACTAAATTTCCCATAAATTCCTTCTCTTTGTGCTGTTAAGAATAGGTTCTCATGTCAAATTGACTCAGGTGTGAAAACAGACTGACTCCAGAAAACAGGAAATTTGTGCACTCTTTGTGTGTGGGTCTCAGGGTCAAGTTCCTGAGAATGATCACACAACTATGTGTCTACGCATGGTGGCAGTATCAGTGGTTCCTTTATGTGACAATTTGGTGGCACAGATTTGGCCACTATTATTGGAAGTTTAGTTTCAAGCCTTGTTCTCCAGGCCTCATACCAAATGTGAGAATTCACTCCTAACCTTTACTCCATACTCCTTTCCTGCTTAATTAGCCATGTCATCCTCTGTTTCTTCCAACAAACTACCTCAATTGATACAACAAAATCCATTCACACCTGGTGAGTTCCTAGGAAAGCCTAAGTACACATGATGTAGCCACCTTTTCTATAAGCTGGGCAATTCCTTTAGCACTCTTATGTGTAAGGCTACATTCATAAGTAAAGTCCACATTGCATCCCTCCGGGCCGAGGAGCCGACAATGTGGAACAACATGGACTGTTTCTATGAAAAGCAGCCCAACCTGAATGTGTCTATAATTCTTGCAAGCAGACCATCAGGAAGCTATGAAGCATGGAATATGTAAATGTCACTGAACCACTGTGAATATTTACAAGGAAGATCTATGTATGACTTGTTGTAAAATTACTATTACCCTTACAGAATATGAGTTGTGTGAGTTGAACAATTCACATGTGACTGGCACCAAGATGGATGACTAGGATATAAATGTTTGACAATTCTGTCTCTATTGGCACTTAGGCTGACTGATGAGGAAACAGTATTACACAGTCATATAAAAACACATCTAATGATTTCCAAAATAACACTCATTAAGGTGATTATGCAAATATACCTATACATTTTTATATTTTATCCTCTAAACATAGATTATGAAGGCTGATCTTTAAATCAGCATCCAAAACTGGGCATTTAAATTAAGGACGATTTTATATTTGTTCTCTTCTGAGAAGAGTAAGGAAATTAACATTAAAAGCACTTGCCAACCTGTCTGCCAGAGCATGACAAACAAAACTGTAAATTTACAAAGAAAGTCAAGGCTATGAATATACTATAAAAATAGAAACTGTTCTTGCCTGTACAAAGCTTTTCTTTAAATTTGCCTCAGTTTCTCAGGTAAATACATTGAGAAATATTCTTTGAGAGTCAAGAGAATAGAAGAAAAGAAAACCTCACTTGCATGGCAGCTCATATACGGTGACAGAGCGGTACCCAGGGAAGCCCAAGTAAGTATTCACTGGCCTGGCTCCCCTCAAGTGACCTGTGGCTGTCAGCTCCTTGAGAGGTGCCTCAGGGCCCTTGCTCAAGGCCATAACCTAACTGGGCATCTTGATGCAGCTGCTGATTAAGGTTGAATATAAACACAGGGCTCAGATTGGCTCCACAGCCCCCTTCAGGCTTGGTCAAGGCTTTGCAGGACTGCCTTCTTTAGAATTCTTCCCTATCAAAGCGTTATGTTCCTTTTCCCCTCCTTCCACTGGTGCTGATGCTGATAAATGTTCTCCACATAAAATGGTATCTCTATTGGAACTCAACCCCAGACAGTCTTGTTTCTTGGCTTCCTTATACAGAACAGAATTTTTCTCTCATTCCCAATTTAAAATAGTGACAGTAACACAATGAACTTCAGTGAACCTGATGCAAGTACAGTGAATCTTAATATTTTTGCCATGTTTGATTCTGATTTTTTGAGAAATATTACAATTGCATTTTAAAATAACAGTGACATCTCCTGGATCTGATTCCTTTATCTCCAGAAACATCTCCCTGATATTAGTGTTTCTTACTCACATGAATATTTTATATTATTACTACTGCATATTTACAGGTCTGTAATTGATACACAGTTTACGTAAATGGCATGCATATTGTGCATTTTTTGTAGACAGCTTTTAGTGCAAAAAACTTTTAAGATTTAAAATATCAATACACTTACACTAGTTCATTTGTGTTCACATCTCAGTAGTATTTCACTGTATGACTATAGCATATTGTATTTATAAATTCTCATTACATCAAACACTAGGGTTGCTTTTTAATTTTATGCAATTATAAGCATTCTATAAAATAAGCATTTGCCTAAAAACCATCTTGTACATATTAGCCAAACTACTCCAGAATAGAGACTTAGAAGTAGAATTGCTGGGTTGAAAGGTATACATATTTCAATTTTGTGTGATAATGACTATCAGACTACTTGCCAACATATGGTCTGCACCACATACACTGAGAATAGGTTCTGAGAAATCCATTCACTAGGTGACTTCACCATTGTGCCGACATCACAGAATGTACTTACATAAACTAAGATAGTTATGTTGCTAGCTCATGTATAATTTCATGGGACCATGTCCATACACGCACTCTATCCTTGACCAAAATGTCACTATAGAGTGCATGGCTATAGTTTTACAGTATTTTAGCCAACAGTGTTTAAGATTTCAGTGTCTTCTCCATATTACTCCTGATAACAGTTCACATCTGGGGCTTAAATTCCTTTATTTTTGAAGTCATGTTCTATTTTGTATTTCTCTGATAACCAGTATCTTTTCCTATGCTTATGGGTCACTTAGAGTATTTAATCTTCTGGGTCTCAGGCACCCTCAGTGGGGAAACTTTTACTACTACCTGTACCCTGATTTATCCTATTCCATAGGACATACGTCTCATCACCCTTACATTGATATTGTAGCTTTGTAAAGTTTTAGCTTTGGGTAAGGGATCTCATTAGACTCTCCACTTTGGGCAGTGTCCTCAAATGCATGAAGCCCATAGCTGAGATCACGTGGTTTGTCCGATCCTGCAGGGTGAAAGCCAGGTAAACGTTGCTTACTTAGTTTACCATTCTCATTTTCACTTCAGTTTTGGTTTCTATGATTCTTTCTTTCTTAGTCTTGCTTTTAAGAAAGGATTTGGATTCAGTATTTTTCATTTCATTTATTCACTATCTCTACTAATTGACAAAAAGTTTGCTTAAAATGGTTGGTAAAAACACTAAACCTACAGTATACGTTTTCATATTTTCAACCCAATTTCTTTGGGCTGTATTCAGAGGGAATTGCTCAGTATCACCTTCAAGTCATTATTTCTCCTTGCGTCTGTGTAGGGTTTATCTAACCTGCTGTACTTATTTTTCAAAGACAGTATCTGCCATCTCTGAGGTTTCTAGTTGGTTCTTTTTCATATCCACCTGCTTTGCCTATTGGAAGTGACAGCCCTGTCTCCCCCACTTTGTTTTGCCTTTCTGTTGAGGTTTACCTTTACCTACACTCCTACATTCCTCAGTCATAAGGAAGCCCTTAAATTGGGGAATTCAGTGTTTCTTCAAGTAGAAATGCTCCTTTAGTCACATGGCTATTCTCGTCTTCCTTCCTTATAGAGCTGCAGGTAATGTGTAGTATCAGGGCCTCTACTCGTTAGTCCTCTGAGAAGCAGGAAGAGCCCCACTCCTGCTCTCCACCTCATAGACTGGTGCTGGCACTGTAAACAGGGCAGACATCACCCTCTTGCCTCTCCTGTACACATTACATCCTCACTGATGGCCACAGCGACAGACCTCCTGCTCCTTTCCAATTGTGTCCTATGGAAGACACATTCCAGTTTACAAGCTCTCTAGAAGAAACTCTAACTCAGAATACCCTCCACCTCTGGGTTACTAAGAATACTCGCCACCTCTGGGATCTAACTGAAGTGTAGTTTTTGAAAATCCTGCTTTGTCCTACACTCCTCTCTGGTGCACACTTCTCATTCTTCCACACCTCTGTGAGGTGCCGTGGTGTTCTCCTGGCTCCTCCAGACCTCTACTTATCAGAATAGAGCTGCTTCTAATATTCTCCATGGTCAGTGCATGCTTTAGAACTGCCTCATTGTCAGTAGGGTCTGTAATCCTATACGATGTTGCATTCCTGATATTAGGAAGTCACGCTCTTGTATTTTCCTGATCAGTGAAGACACGAGCAAATCATTGCATTGTAAGGCTCCAGCCATCTATTTGTATCACCACCGTGTATTTACTCCAGGTTAGTCTGACTCATTCATTCAGGAGTCACTGTAATATTTCCTTCATCTGCGAGGATGAAAATCACGAAGTAGGCCATCAGCAATGACACCTTCAGCTTTGTTACCATTCACACTAATCCTCAGTTTTTCTTCCAGGGCCAGTGCAGGCAGCATCCCCTTCTTGTCCAAGTCTAGGCTCTCCATGTTCAACTGCTTCCTTCAGGATCGGTGTGTGTGTTTCTCTCTCTCTGGTTTCTTCTTAGTTCAATACAAAAACTTTCTCATTTGCAAACATATCTTTTTGATCTCAGTACTATTCAATCTCTATACTCTACCCATATTTCATGTCTATGTATATTTTCCTTTAAACTGATTCCTTTATAGAGTATCATTCTATGACTTAATTCACTGAAAGCCTGACTTCCATTGCTTTTATGCTTTTTCCTAATATGAATTAAAATTATTTTAGTGGCATAATTTTTAAAATATTCATCTGTGTATCAAACATCATTTTAAATTATTTTAAATTAGCAGGACATGTCCAACACATCGAGTGTCAATATACAGCTTTTCCAGCCTATAAATCTCAGTGTAAAATAGAGTACTGTTATGTGAAAAGAAGAAAGCCAGTATGGTCCTTCCAGTAAAGTAACAGAGCATTTTATTTAATGCATTGTTGATGAAAACTTTTCCCAAAATAATTACTTTTCTTAGAATACTCAGAGATTTTGTTTTTATCACTAAAAGATTATTACTAAACAATTCATTAGATTTTTAAGGTGCAGAGGACTAGACAGGATATGTCCTGTTCCTATGACATCCAAAGGCATTTCTTACCATCATTTTCACATTCAAAAGAAGAGTAAATTATGGTCTAGGTAATATCTTTAGGGTCTTGAGGAATTATTTTTTAAAAATATTTATTTATTTATTTGAAAGAGTTACAGAGAAAGAAGGAAAGAACGAGAGGAGAAAGAAAGAGAAAGAGGGAGGAGAGAGGGAGAGGGAGGGGGGAGGGAGGGAGAGATAGAGGGAGAGGGAGAGGGAAGGGGGAGGGAGGGAGGGACACACACACACACACACACACACACACACAGAGAGAGAGAGAGAGAGAGAGAGAGAGAGAGAGAGATATCTTCTATCTGCTGGTTTACTTCCCAGATGGCTGCAACGGCCAGCACTGGGCCAGGCCAAAGTCAGGATCCAGGAGCTTCCTCCAGGTCTTCTGCTACTTTCCCAGGCCATTAGCAGGGAGCTGGATTGGAAGTGGAACACCTGGGACTGGAACCAGCACCCATATGCAATGCTGGTGTTGCAGGCGGCAGCTTTACCCGTTGTGCCATAATGTGGGTCTCTAAGAGGCTATTTAAAAAATGAGTATTTCAGAGCTGCTAAGAATCCTCAAAAACATCTTAAATATCATTTTCTAGTCTAAGCTGTAGCTAAAACCAACGAAGCCATATTCACAAAGTCCTTGAACTTCTCAGCTTCAAGATTACCACCTGATACTACACAGATAATCACATGTCCTAACCATCTATCACAGTTTACTTGATAATGACAAACCACTATGTCTCTTTGAACCCTAAATCAAATAATTAATTATGGAAATGCTAGGCATTTGATGTCTACTCCCTTTTACTGGCTAGCCATTTTGTTAAATGAAATTAACAATCAAAAAAATTTGAGTAACTAACATTGCCTTTTTCAAACTGAGGTCATCAGCAGTCCACAGGATACTAATACATAGTGCCTTAAAGGAAGAATATCCAGATCAAATAGGTTTGGGAAATGCTAGGCAGAAGATTCCAAATCCTGGAGCGTCACAGTGCCCCTAACATATCAGCACTAATAATTCTGAGAAGTCTAGCAGTAGGAAACCAATTAACTTTTGTTTGACTCAGCACTTTGAATTTTTTTAATAAGCACCTTTTTTAAAGCAACAACTGTTACCACCTCAAGAAACAATATTATTTTAAACCATAACTTAGATAATACTGAAAAATAAATCTCATTTATCATATTTAGGGATGGCTCAACTAAAGAGAACTATATTGTATTCTACCTTGAACATATTTCTTTATAAGCTAGAAAGTGAAATTTTAATTATTTTTGACTAGATAAGAATATTTTCGAAGTGCAGGAGACTAAAACCACTACTTTTCAAATGAACACTACTGATACTGCTCCATCCTGAAGACATGGAAGATGCACATTAATATGGCATCCCTGTTTGTTTAGTTGCTCTAGGCCATGCCCATGACTTCTTACATTTAGCTCTTCAGATAAAAGAAAACCACAACTACCAATCTAATACCTTATTACACTAGCTAATATTCTCATAGAAGATAAACAATATTAAAATCTTCACTGTTTATCCTACTACCAAGCCACATAGCAATATACCAAGTTCTAGCTGATATCTTTCCTTCAAGGTTAATGAAGCAGATACGAGACAGCAATGTTTTCAGGTATTTTAAATTTATATTCTAAAGCTTGGGCTCTTTTCTGCAACTTTATTACCAAATTTCCTATGAGGGGAAATCAAAATGCAGGAGGAGAAACTTTAGTTTACATTAACATCCACAAGGGAGGCTTTTTGCCTACAGCCTTCATGAGATGAGAACTTCAAGGTAAACAGGCAAAGTTTGCACCAACAATGGCTACTTAAAGGACTGTCTATTCAACAGTAATTCAACAGGACTTGGCCATTGGCATTTCAGTTTTTTACTTGGTTATCTCTGATCACCACAGGGGTCCATGTACACTGGTGATGGCCAAATTCATGGTCTCTTAAGTTTTCAATGGTGTGCTAAGTATTCCTACCTGAACCATGGATGAGTCCCAGCCTCCACCTTGGCACACCCTCCACCTCCTGTGTTTTCCATTTCTGCACTGTGTAGTTCTGACAGCAGTCCCTGAACCAGCAGTGTTAGCACCAGATGGACATTCTCAGCATCAGAAGGAGAGAAGTCTAGCTACCTGTGTTTAAACAAATCTTCCAGGAGATTCTCACACACATGTGAGTCTGAGAACCATTTTCTATGGAACTATCAGTCTTCTTTCATTCAGGAACAAACTGCAAGTGTTTGATTCAGTGTAAGGAGCAGAGAATTAAACAACTTCACCATAACAGTAACAAAAATAAGCAAGAGCCAAGCTGACTGCAGGAGATCTGCATGGGCTTGATAAGAACCATCCACGGCCTGAGCACACGCTCCTTGGATCCTTATCAACCCTACACTGATGGTCCAAAAATATATAAAACCACAGACTGAGGCCAGTGGGGACTCTGGACAGATTATTGAGTGCGGTTGGGCGGAAGTTGCTGGTTGACCCACCGCTTTCAGATCTTCCTGTGAGAGTTCTCCCAGCCTGCCCCGCGCTCCCCGGGCGTGGAGGCTCTGCTGGCCCAGAGCTGAGATTCCTCCTGCTCGAAGCCCAACAACCAGCCAGAGGCTGAGACTGGATCGCCCCTGAAGACCTGTGCTTTCTGGCTCAGAGGCACCACCCCTGCGGACGCCCTATAACTCCGCCCTCTGTGGCTGAGCGGAGCATCGGAGGTACCTTGGGCGGTTGGTTTATCCACTGTATTGTATTATACAAATTAAAACCTGCGACTTTCCTACTGCATAATAAAAATGCCTTATTGAGATCAACACGGCCTCCATGCCATTACTACGTTCGTTAACAGTTGGCGTAGTCGGCAAGGTATTAGTATCAATGCACAAAATCTCTTCCGGGCGATTTTAGGCTCGGCGTGAGCATCTGGCAAGAGTCACCTCCAAGAGAAAACCGCGGCTAAAGCTAAGTGGCTGAGGCTGTGCTACGTCCGGCTCTGGTAGGGGCTCACCAATACCCACCTAAACTGGGGCCTTGATGAAGGAAACCCACATTAGCAACCTCCAAAAGGCACCTGCGGCTAAGGCTAGGTGGCCAAGGCTTGGTAAGAACGGATCTGGTAGGAGCAAAATGGGCCTTTGATGCTGAGATCTCGTGAGAACTAAGTTTTAAATGCGCGACTGGCTGTCCAAACGGTTATATAACTATGCAGAACGGGAATTCCACCACCTAATAAACATTAAAGATAAGTGTGGGAAGGTTACATGGTATTTGGGTAAAAAGTGGGTTAAGGTGTTAATCGATATAGCCACTTGTATAGCATAATTAACCTTGGTTAAAAGCCTCAATTAGCATAAACATATAAATATATATTTATTTATGTTGGTATAATCAAGTGATATGGGTATTTTGTACTTTGAGTATAGGTATTTACAAGTACAAATTACCATATTATTCATAAATATAAGACAAAATTTGTAAGATCTGGGAGAAAATAAAAAATTGGAAGAAAAAAGAAAAATGAATTAACAGTTAATAATCCTTGGTGCAAGGTAGAATTAATTACTCAAGAAAAATTTCCTAAGAGTAAAAAGGGAACTGATGTTACAATTAATTCACCCTCCCTGGAAGTAGTGGAACCAATCCTGACAAGGGCCCCGCCTTGTAAAGTCCCTGGATATTATAAAAATCCATTACAAATATTGACTGACATCGATCTAAGGGAAAGGAATTAGCCAGACAGGTATTAGAAAAGACCCGAATGAATCCATTCTTAAATAATAACCTATTCTTAAAAAATAAAGAACTGAAGTCCAGTTTACCAATAACTACTAAGAAATTAGGACTCAAAGAACAAGGGATCCCAAAGTCAGTACAGAAACCAGAGAGTTTACATGAGCTGAACTTCAAGAATATAGGCAAGACTTTGCCCAAAAAGAGACTCGAGATGTCAAGTTCTTATACAATCTCTGGACTGAAGGAATAAATGGCATTATAGTAAATGGACAAGAAATGAATATTCTAGCCAGAACAGTAGAAAATCCGGTAGTACACAACAAACTTTGTCAAATAATGGACAATTATATGATGAACAGTCAATTTTTGACTGGATATCAGAAGCTTGACAGCAAACTTTCCCAATGTTAGATTTAGCATCTTTCAATGCCCAGATTAAATGAAATAACATCGACCAGCCCATAAGGCTACTATGTAGAAATACTGGGGTGTTAATGATATATTCTCAAGAAGCAATCACTCCAGTGATGGTGCCTGTAGGTCAAGGGATTAAAAACCTAATAATTAAGGGTGGACCACAACACTTGCATCTTGGCATGACCTCCGCCCTGACGAGGGCCAGAATAATGCAAGAAATTGTTCATCGCTTCCACCAGACTAGAGAGATTAAAATTCATCGTTTATTATGACCTAAACTCAGACATCTGCTTCTTTCTTCACAAAACCTAATAGGGAGAGGTTTAAAAACATCTCCTAGAAACCCAAATGTAAAATACAAAATAATTACCAAAGGGGAACTATATCAAAAAACTCCAACAGGGGTCCCCGAAATTACCTACATAACAAAAAGTTACTATGCTTGCGACATTCAGGATCAAACTACAAGTGTTTTTGTCTTTTCATTATTTTCTCTTTTTCCTCGTCCCTCACATATTAAATGGTTTCCCAAATCCTGACACTCCACTTCTTTAATTCTGGTTTAATTCATTCCATTCCTTGCAATTTCTACCACCACTAGCCTAATTTAAAGAGTTGACTCACTTTTATTTATTCTTTATTAGAAGGATGCACGTGGTGTGGGGAGCGGAGGGTAGAGAGCTCTCTTCTGCTGATTCATTCTCCAAATGCCCAGAACAGTTGCGGCTGGGCCAGGGCAAAATCAGAAGCCTGGAATTCAATCCAAGTCTCCCACATGGGTAGCAGGGACCCAAGTACTTGAATCATCACCTACTGTCTGTCTCCTAGTCTGCTCATTATCAAGACACTGGAACTGGAGCATATCTGGGCCTGAAACCGAGACACTCAGATATTCATTGGAAGTACCTTAGCCACTATGCCAAACATCTGCTCACATTAACTTTAGACTATTATTATAACCCCTCACTAAGTCTTCTTCCCTTCATGGTAGTGAGGGACCTAGTATTCAAATCAACATTATGGAAAAGAGATACAACAAGGAAAATAAATACTGGAGTCAGTGTCAGCTCTAGCTGTCAATAACTGTTGCTATCATTTTCCAAAAAGCAGTTAGAATCAATGTCAAAAATGTGAGACTTCTTTAAAATGTAATGTCTTGAATATTTGATTAGTTATTACTTTAAATCTCATTAAGAAATTGTGAAAAATAATGACGTTAATAATTTATCTAGGTTTTTAATACATACATATTTTAAGATTATTAAGATGCATGATGCATATCATCTAATATTAGAGCTTATTTGGGGGTTAATTGACTGCACAGTATATGATAATAATGCACATAAATCAGTTTGTTGAAATAGAAAATGAAGAATAAATGATCAATTTCCCACTTCTTGAATGCAGATTAGTTACTGCAAACACAGCAAAAAATATAAAAATGATCAAAGAAACAAGACTAAATTTAATCTTTCTTCAGTAAATCTAATAAATAGCAGTAGGGAATAGGAGGCTAATCTTAAAAAATGATTAATTTAAGGTTTGGTTAGTAACTTAATGAAATGTAATGGGAAAGAAAACAAATACCATCTAGTGTAGGTAGATTTTTTTCCTTGGGATTATAATAAGTTTACTTTTATAACTGTTCTTTCTGCTTTGAAGATATTTCAAGGCTAAATGAGGGGAGGAGAACAGGGTGAGGTTATCGAAATTAGAATGTACATTTAGTTATGTCCAAGCTAAGTAAACCATTCCTTGTGACTAAGGCTTGTTACCTGGCTCAAGGGGGGTAGAAGTGTCAATTTTTTGTCTTCTTCATTTTTAATTCTTTTTCATTTTATATAGATGGTTTCACTGACATCATTGTTGCTTACTAAACTTCCAGAAATTACTTTTGGCTTCTTAGAATTTAATCTAAGTTTACTGTGTGATTGACAGCCAGCCATAAGCTGCATCTAACACAGGAGGACCATTAAAGCCCTAGCGGAAAGCTGGGCCATTGTAACTAACGGTTGAGTCCAACCTCAAGGCACCCGCATTTGGAATAATGCCTAATCTAGTGCTCAGTCCCACAAACATTCTAGCCTTGATATTTCCAAATTCAGCGCCCCTCTGTATTTCTCTGATTCTCCCAATTGCTTCTCTTACAGACAGCCTCCATCAACTGGTCAGCCCATATAGAAAAACTATCTTAATTTAACCTTTATTATCTTTATTGCATAGCTGAACAGTCCCTTTTTACCTAAAAAAAGTTGACAAGTGTAGTAATGCTGTTTTTTACTTTTGTTAGGTCTATATGGCTTTCAATTGAAAAGAAAAAATTGAAATGTTAAAGTTCATGGGAAAAGAAGTGTTAGATTTGACTATATGTATTTTTATTTTTATACCAATGTGCTTATTTCAAGGAATCTTTAAATTGTGATTTTCTTCTCTTGCACACAATACATACTCACTTATTAAGACATCTATTCTCTTAGAACCTTATGATTTAACATCAGTGTCTTACTCTTGTTTACTAAAAACACCAAATGAACATCAATTGTGCTTCAGGAAGTCTACATCTATTTTTTCCAATCCTTAAAAACAACACAGGCCAATTTTGAGTTAACAATCTTAAGGTGTTAGGGGCAAATTAATAACATGCACCAAGTCACACAATTAGCTAGTGAGACCGGAATTCTCAACTCTTGCTCTTTCCACTGTATGAGACTGAAAAAGAAAGGGGCTCTCATATTCTGTTCCTGAAGGTTATATTTAGAACTGCTCTTGACTTTATTACTTCAATACTTTCTTCCTAAATCAAATAAAGTCCTGCAATTTAATAAGGACTAAAGACCCAGATGCAAGTATACATGGGAACTTACTAATAACAAAGGTGGAATTTTATTCAATGGAGAAGAACTGTCGGTATAATTAGAACAAAACGAAATTACTACCTCAAACCACAGACACACATATAAGTTCAATAATAGATGAAGAAAACCAAACACAATTCTATAAAATATGATCTAAGAGAATATTTTTATAACCTTAAGATTGCAGAGACTTTCTTAATTATAAGGGAAAAGATAAGTATATAGGGTTTATTTGAGCATGGGGACAACTGCCACAGGAGACACTGCCGATCAACAAGCGTGACTGCCTCAGGAGGGCAGTACTGAGAAAGAGAGGGGTAGATGATTTCCATTTTTTATAGTACCATTTTAATCATTGCACTTGTTACAACTATTACGTGATTTCTTTAACCAACATCTAATTCAGAAAATTAGTAACGAAGAAAAGAATGAAAGGGCCAAGCAAACAAAGACATCATTTACATCTATTAGGACAGATCTTGCTTAGGATATAGTCCAATTCCTGGAAAATGGTATAAATTGAGAGGTCAATGGATATTTTTGCTATTGTGAAACCATTACAGTATCTTAACTTGGCTTAACAACATTCCAGTTACCTGTAATAGTTCATTGCAACAATCAGTAATAACATTTATTATCAAAGTACAAATTAATGGTGAAGGTACAGAGAAACACTGCAGGAGATGTAAGGTAATAACACCTTAAAAACCAGACAAACAATAACAAAAAACCCTACCCATTGTTCCA